CCTTACTGAAAAGGAAGTAAACTATGTCCAAAAGAATAAACGGCGTTCATGCCAATTTTACACATCATCCATGTTGTGATCATTATCATTGTCTCCTTCGTAATATTCATCATCACGCTGAATGTGCTTGTCTTGGGTGTGCTCTGGGAGGACAACAATTCATAAAATTAAGAAGTGTCAGCTGAAAGAAAATCAACAGATTTCAAGTCCTAAACATACTAGTGCACGCTAGTGCGAGTGCTAATAATTCAAGGAATTTAACTCACGATCCACGCGTTCATCAGGGTTCTGTGCATCTTCATCAAAATCGGGAATATAAAAGTCAGGTGGAACCTGCAAAAGGCAACACAATGATTCAAGTCAAATTATATGGTATATTAGTTCTACTTGGATATCAGTGTCTGAGCATGTTCAGTCCTACAATTATTGCACTGGTTGACCTAGCTATGTAAACCATTACCAGAAGTCTCATCAGTCACTAGCCTTTTCAAATATCACGTCAATGGGGCGAATGCATCCTTGAGTTGTGATAAATGGTATCAGAATCAACCTAATACCATCATGTGGGATCAAGGAAACTGCATACCACGTAACACAAATCTAAGTCACGACAAGGATTTTAGAGATTTGATTTTAGACCCTAACGATAACCTATTTGATACCCCAGTTCTGTGTATATGGTGTGAAAGTGCGCACTGAGTGTCACACCAGTTGTGTTGGATCAATCTGGATTATATGGGAGACCCATCGGTGATCAGTTTTCTTGGAGTATCATATTAACATGGTGAGCGCATCCGAAGTCATGACAACTTATATCCTGACTGCAGTCTAAGTATGATATGCTGCCATTTTATAATCTAAGGGATGGTAGAAAATGACAGAGAGAATATCGTCACTTGAGTTGATGGAATGCCCCAATCAATACACCTAACAGACCATGATTCTTGGATCTCTCATGCAAGCATAGATTCTATGAGTTTCACAGAGCATTATAGATTTAACTTATATTGTCCTTCATGGTACTTGAAATGAGTGAACCACATCACATTAGAGCATAATTCTTTCTAGGATTTTAAGATTATGCAAGTCTGACATATTATGTTGCTTGACTGTCAATCTAAACCAGTGACTAGGTGGATTCTATTTTTTATGGGTGGTGCCAGATTGACACTGATAAGGTAACATGCCAGATACCTGGATAACACATTGCTTACCTCTTGCATTTGTACATTAGGAGCATGTTGGATGCAACGGAGATTTTCCAAGACTTGCATTTTAATCGTGCTAATATACGATTTACTATTTAGGTTCTCCTGCACACCCAAAAGAAATAAAAGGACTTAAGGTTGTTCTGAATAATCATGGAAAACTGAAAAACTAGCAATGACAAAGTTTAAGTATTTCAATATCCACCTATTAAACTGATCCGTTTTTACATGCTACCAACATCAGCCGTGGCAATCAAATTGGTTCAAAGAAAGAAAAAATCCAACCTTTTAAACAATGTATAATGCAAAATTATAAATTCTAATTGATAACATACTATATGTCCGTTTGGAATTCTCAAAGAGAAGTCGGGAGAAAAATACTTGATATACTCGTTTTCTGGGATCTCTGCAAGAAAGAAAAACAGCAGTGGCAAATAAGACATCCATGTCCAGAATAGAACAGTACTGAAAGGGACTCCCACATGTTAAAAAAAAAAGGATACTCAAACTATCACTGGAGAGGAAAGACTCTCCTCACAAGAACTTCTTCTTTTTTCATTTTCAATTAATCCAATACAAAAAAAAATATTTCTCCAACAAATAGAAGAATTACCAATCAATCCAAACAGAAAATACACGGAGAAGAAAATATTAATGAAAAGCCAAAAGTTGAACTAAGCACACATCTTACATGAGCAGTTCAGGAGCCAAAAAAAAAAAATACATTCAGAAGCCCATGACCAACAATAGCAAAAAGAAAGAGAAACATGGAAAAGTGCATGCAGGTCGTTGCTAGCCAGCTAAGACAAATGCACGCAAAAATCAGCAGAGCATAAGTGATCCAAACTTCCAATGCCATGATCATTGCCTGGTTACCCTAAATAAATACAACATATAAATAAAACACTCCCAAAAATAAAACTTTTAATTACAGGAATTTACTTGTCAACAGTGATGCATGCAGGTCACTGCTGGCTAGCGAGAAGATATGCACACAGGAACCAGCAGGGTATAGGTCATTCAACCCTCCGATGCCATGACAGTTAAAAAAGATAAGTCATATACAAAGCTGCATAACAACCCAAAACAACTTAAAATATCATACGGGATCTAGAATAAGAGCAACTGAGTATAAAACCAATTCTATTTATCAATGAGTCTTGAAACAGCATTGATTTATTCCAGCACGAATCCTTATTAATATCAAGATATGCATGCTGAATGCCATTTCACATTCCGACAAACTTCTTGGAAGCAAATGAATTTTAGATAAGAAAGAAGAGAAACAGCTTCAGGAATTCTCCATGGGGATCAATCTCAAATTATCATTATAGTTTCAACTTAGATATGAATGGTTTTTTTATATCTGAGAGTGAGAGTTATGTCAATATTATGAGTATAACAGTGCTTTTGAAATAATTGTTTTTAATATTTCGTTCCAGATGCTTATGGATATATTAACCGAAACATTAAAAATGTCACAATCAGCTTGAAGAATGTAACCTAGAAAATAATTATCATGATTATGCAATATATCTACCTCCTCCCAGCAAGCCTCAAAAAGAAGAGGGAAGAAATATTATATTGTAAAGTCTATAAAAAGACAATGCACAAC